GTATGTAGGTAGTTGGGGATTTTGAAGAATGATGGGATTTATGATGAAATTGGGGTTTAAGTTGTATGAGATGATATGTATGAAACTTATTATGATGTGTTATTGTTATTGTGTTGATTTCGTCGTGATTGATGAGTATTTTTGGACTGAATTGTATTGAAATCGCAAGCCATTTTGGATCTGAACTGGTGCAGAATCGCAGTTGAGAAGTTACAGGTTCGCGCATTTTCATCGGGCGAACTTTCGTTTCGCTGGGCGAAGCAATTTTTCCTCAGCCTTGCTAGGAGAAAGTGAGAGCGAGAAGAGGGTGAAAAATGAGTGCTCCTGGTTTTTGTATGAATGAGGGGAATCGCCCTTGCTTCGTCGGGCGAAACCCAGACGAGCGAGCACCAAGCGAGCAGGACCAGTAGTTTTATTTTTCTTTTGTTGTGTTGTCTTGTACCTAGTTGTTCGTATGCCTTGAGTGGTTGACGTGATGCATTTTAATGAGTATATCATGTTGATTTGTGAAGTAATATGAAGAATTGTGATGCATAATGATGATATAATACCATGATGTTTTGATGAATTTTCATGAATGATGATGCAACTTGACTATCCTGTGATGATGTTGATTATGACGTAGTGCATCATGTATTTATAGCATAGTAGGACTTAGGTATAATGTTGTTGATAGGACTTCAGTCCAGTGTTGACTTCAATCCCATTGTGTGGATTAGGGTGTTTATGTTGTGCTCCAATTCTTGTGTAGAATCGATCCTATTGGTGGGGATCTTTGAAGGGTGATAGCCTAGTGTCCATCAACATGTTGATTTGGTACCACATGCATGAGTCTATGTTGTTGCATTTCATGTTATGTGGCATTGTATCTATGTGAATGATTGTTATTATTGATGATGTGATTTTAAAATTACGTGTGATGATGATGTGACCTAAGTGATGCTTAGTGATGAGTTGTTAATTTGATGACTTTATGAACGAAGATGTATATATGATACTATGGTATGGAGATGTGAGTATAATACTTGGAAAATGATAATGCATGGATTTCGTGATGATGTTGTTTTTGTATGATGAATGCTATCTTAACATATCTTATCTTTGTATCTTGTATAATGATTTGTGATCACTCACCCGACCTGTTTGGATGTTCCCTCCACGTGGGTAACGTACAAGTGATCATGATTAGCTCTCGGTGCATGAAGAACTGACTTGAAGTGTTTCGGTTATTTCTGTTGAGTCGAGGGTCTTGCTCTGATATGTAACATCGGGTCAGGATGTTTGAGTTGAACTGTTGTGTTCTTTTGTTGTTGACATCATGAAGTTATGAGTTCTTATTTTTAAAACTCTTTGAGTTACAAATTATGCTGATGATTTTGAATCTTTCCGTTGCGTAGTAATTGATTAAAATTATGATGAATAAAACTCGTGTTACAGAGTAAGACGTTATTATGATTTTATGATGAAAAATGGCACCCTTGCGATGATATACTCTGATATAATTGTTTTAATTATCGTTAATGCTTGTGGGGTAGAAGGGTGTTACAAATCTCTCCTATATATCTTTGGATCCGATGATAAGTTTTTTTTTTGGCTTTTCTTTGAAATTTGTTTTCTCTTTCTTTGAAATTTGCTCTAATATGTAACATCGAGTCGAGACGCTTGAGTTGAACTGTTGCGTTCTTTTGTTGTTGACATCATGAAGTTATGAGTTCTTGTTTTTAAAACTCTGTGAATTACAAATTATGCTGATGATTTTGAATCTTTCCGTTGCGTAGTAATTGATTAAAATTATGATGAATAAAATCTGTGTTACGGAGTAAGACGTTATTGTGATTTTATGACAAAATGTGGCACCCTTGCGGTGATATACTCTAATATAATTGTTTTAATTATCGTGAATGCTTGTGGGGTAGAAGAGTGTTACAAATCCCTCCTATATTCTCGCTATCTTTGGATCTGAGCATAAGTTTTTTGGCTTTTCTTTGAAATTTGATTTCTCTTCCTTGTTGACTACCAGTAGCACAACGAACTTTATCTTAATCTTCCCCTTGGATGTGGTCGTCGGATTGGGAAAACCTCCCGTGTTAGAAGTGAAGAAGTTGTATCCCTTTTGACGGAGGCTATAAATTGGCACTCCCCTCTCTAGTCATCACTACTATCTTTTCCTATTTTGGCCTTTAATTCTGACTCAATCTTCTTCTTCGAAAATGTCTTCCCTCGATGAGGAGAACATTTCTTTCGTGTTGATTCATCTCTCCTCTTGGAATCCCTTATTCTCTCATGATTGTCTTTTCTTTCACCCTCCTGAGTGTACCAGTCTTACCTTCCTTTCTTTATCAGCTCTTTAATGGCGTTCTTCAAGTGTATGCACTCCTCCGTGTAATGCCCATGGCTCTTGTGAAAACCAAAAAATCTTGTCTTATTTGTTCTGAGTTATTCTTTCATGGAGGAGGTATGCTCATCTCGGCTTCCTTGAAGTCGGTGTTGGTTCCTTCCTCCAAAATCTTTTCCCTCAACATATGTAGGGGTGTGTAGGATGAAAATCTGACTCAGGGGTTCTAGTAGTTTCCCTAGTCCATGTCATCACGACGCATGTTAGAATCTCTTTCAATCGGGTGGTTATTTGTTGAGTTCCATGATCCTCTATTCTTATCCCTTCTTATTTTTTTGAGAGGATTCTTTCCACCTCTTATGCTATGAGTTTTTCTTTATGGTTAATATATCATTGGCCTTGCTGAGGAGGTCACTCATACTTCTATCGCCTTTAAACCCTAACTTTTTTCAAAATATTTAGTTTGTTCTTAATCCTTTTTTGAAGATCCAACACTTCAGTGTGTCGTTAATTCCACCCACATCGACGAATATCTTAGTAAACCAGACTGTATATTCTCGCAGGGTGTATCATTATAATTTTATTGGGTTCTAAGGAGGGATAACCTAAAAAGAATAAGAGAAGGCCAAACACACTAGGGATGTCAATTATACGGGTATCACCTATGGTCACCCAAGGCTTCGTCTCATGACGTCAGGCAATGGGTGCTACCCGTCCAACCTGGGTATCTAGTCGCTCAATTGGGCTTGTGTTGTCCGATCGGGCCTGGTCGCTCAAAGTGGGGTCTAAACACCATATCTGGTGTGTGATCTAGTCACTTATATTATGTGGACTATGAGGTGTCCAAGTAATATCAATCAAATGAAGAATAAGTCTTCCACTACTCTTACATTTCTAATCATGGAATAGTGGAAACCACCTTTTAACTTTCTAACCCAAACCTAAGATGACATCTATAAACAACTCAGTTCATATATGAGAAAAGACATTCACTCCTTCCACATAAAATACATAACAAATAGGTATATAAAGTTTCTTGCAACCCTAATCAAGTAGGGTCTCTTTTACTAGTGAGGAGTCTTGAGACAGATTGGAGGTTTGACCTTGAGGTAGATGCTAGAGAGGTTGAACAATCGACAGGATCTGAAAAGTTCTATAATTGATAGGGGGTTGAAGCCTAATAGCATGAGAAGGTTGGGTAAGTTACAAGGACTAGATCGGTTTCCCCTTTTAGAAGAGGTGAAACATCTCTTATAGGAGCGAGAATAGGTGTTGTAACTACAATGGTGGCATTGGCATTGCGATGAGTAGTTATCCAATTGGCATTGTGATGAGCGGTTATCCAAGATGATTTAAACACTGCCACCATTGATATCGAGTTAATCGAAGATTAGAATGGAAGATCGACCGGTGGCAATGGTGCATTAGTTAGGATAGGGATTTTAGTGAAAAATTGTCAGAATAAGTCAATTCTCACTAAAAGCGCCATTGTTTTGTTGCAGTAGAAAGGAGCTCATTTGGTGCAGTGGTATGGGCCTCCGAAGTGGGGATAGGTCTGCAAGGTTAGTACTTCAATGTCCGAGTAAGTGGGGTTAGAAGAATGAATAAACCTACTATGTAGCAAGAGGGGTTTATATATGATAAGAGGTGAAAATCGTTCCTGCTTGATTTAGGTCGGGTTACGGGAGACCGTCTGATCAGATCTAACAATGGTTGAGGGACAAGTAAATTGCATCGGATGCAAGGCCTTTTGGCAAGACTTCATTTGTATGCCACCCTTCAACGAGAATATTTTGGGTTGGACCTTTGGAGTTGGGTCGGACTTACTAGACCTTTGGCAAACCCGAATTAGTAATGTAAGACCAATTTCAGTAACATATTCACATGATAAGTAAATTGGTGTAAATGTCACGTGGATTATGGAATGAGATGAAAGAAAATCAAGTATTTGTCCATGATACCTCTCTATGTAATGACTTCAAATATGTAAAGAGGAATCACATTTAAGAACTCAATGCTGGTGTTGGAATTTTATATAAGCAAAGCACTGGAAGCTCCACAAACCGTTGGAAGAATGAATGATGTTGATGGGTACAATTTACAAATAGAATTTGAAATGAATCACTAACATAGACGCCTAAGAGCATCTTTAATGGGAGCAACTAAATTGGATGAACTAAGTTATTTTACGTGGGTCCAAATTGACATGAAGGATTTAAGCAATCCAAAATTGAATTAAAAAGTTTTTACTTCAATGGTGATTGTTTATAAGGAATTCAAACTTGATATTAAATGGTTAATAAAAATTTATTATTTATGTTAAATAATTAATAAAAATCTATTATTTATGTTAAATAATGAGTTAGAGTACGTTGCTTGTGTAGAGCACGTAAACTAGTTTTATAGCATTTCATATGTCATGTCAGCTCTACTATCTTTATTACTAAGGTAAACTATACAAAATTTTGGTTTAACAACTATGCATTAAAGTTGCTCTAATACGACAATAAAATGAATCACTAACACACCTCATACGACAATGACTAGTAGACAAAAGAAACATTTTAAGAAAATGAAAATGAAAGTGTTTGAATGTAACTACATGTAATGTCAGTCTCAAAAATCAGACAAGTACTTGTCCTGATGTGTCGGCGCTAAATAGAAACTAATGGCGTAAACTGGAATACAAGTCTTGAAGAGAGACGTACAATGGCTCTGCAGCCTCTGGCTTGTCCACCATCCCTAAAAGAATTTCAGATGTTGTGAGATAAGAACTACCGTAAAAACGCAGATTGGTATCCATCCTGGTTGCAACTATATTTCCCTCCAATGACACTCCCACAAATGCACCTATCATTTCAGAACGTTGCATGTTAATCAATGTTGAAACCACTCAAGCAAGATGAAAGCCATAGTATGAATATTATTTATATCATACAAAATAGCCTAAACATGCTTATGTATTTAGATGAATCTTGCGCAACAAATGTTCTTAACATTTGATCCAAGAGAAGATTCAGACATACCTTTACTGCAACTATATGTATAACACATGGCAGAACCTCTGTCACCAGCACGAATATCTGCTTCAAGCACTCTTCCGATAGGCCCTGCAGCAGCACTACAACCAGCACCAATAGAAAAATGCATGCGACTGCAAAATGTCCTCACAGCTTTGATATCACGAAGCACAATTATAAAGTCCATAAGTTCACCACCAATCTGTGATAATCACGCAGAAATTGTAACGATGTCAACAAGCAGGTGAGCGCATTTAACAGTTTTAGTTTTGTGACTTACTTGAACTTACCTACATATATAACCATTTGTAGGACTGTTTTATGCAAACGGTTTGCTTATCACTTTTCATAAGCTGTCTTCAGCTTATTTTCATAAAATTTTCACAATAACATGTGAAAACAGCTTATAATCTATATGAAAACAGTTTGGCTTTATTATAATATTGTTGGTCATAACTCATAAGTCGTTTATCGAAGCAGAGTTTTAATACTGTTATATAGTGACTTTCTATTATATTTGGTTAAAAAAAGGTTTCAACCAATGCAAGATTAGCATAGAAAAATATTCTATAAATATAAAGATACAAAAATAAAAGAAATTCTAGACTCATGCTGTTCTCTCTTTTTTCATTTTCCATGGATGCAAAATAACGAAAACAACCATAGAGATATATAGTTCTACAAATCATAGAAATCTTCATATAATTCCTTACCTGGGCACCCCATCCTAAACCTAGGGAGAATATTGCTGATGGTGCTGACCAAGATCCATCTGACCTTCTAGAAACAACCAAACCAGTACCCAGTTTGTAAGAGAGCAATGCACCGGCTTTCGCAACGGTTAAAATTGCAAGCCCTTTCGCTTCGGTTAGAATGGCTAAAGGAATTGACCTCTCAGGATTGGATCTGGCCACCTATCAACAGATATAAATGAAATAGTATAACAAGTAAGTCATTCAATACAAACTTAAATAAAGCATTAGAAAAGAAAAAACCTTGCAGTAGCTTCTCAAAGTATTAGATGATTTGTATATCTCATCTTCCATAGACAAACCAACAGGAAGATTAAGCCACCCTCTAGAACAAGTCCAATCCATTACATCATGCTTTGCGACCTGCACAGCATTACTAACAGTATCGATGAGAAAATCTTGCACAGGATCAAGCTTCTCATAGCAAGCATCACAAACCCTCTGCGGGTTCCTTTCCCTAAACCTAACCGGCAACAAACACTTCCCCTTTGTACACACCCGGCAGAAAACACCACCACAAAACCGGCAATGATGTCTTCCACGAGTAAGCACGGTAAATAGAGCACTACACTTCATGCAACCAGAAGTAGAACTATCAGGTAGCCACTCCAGCGGTTCAGCTTCTAGCACGTCTTTATAGACACCATAATCAATCCCAACCGGAGGAGGGGGAGCACTTGGCGTATACACGGAAGAGTCAATGACCGTATCACCGTTCTCTCCAATGTCAAGGAACATTACATCAGAACTTCCAGACAGCAACTGATTATCAGTGGTTGTCGATGTTTTGTTTGAAATTGCCCCAACAAGCACATTCTTTAAGCTAACATTAGAAAGCTTGTTTGTAAAACAAGGTAACATACCAATTGAATGATCACTTGATTCAGAATAACCATCAAACATGTCTAGGGCATCAGGATATAACTCATGAAAAGACTCTTTTTCATGATTTAAAATTCTGGGTTCACCGCAATTATTGGTGAATTTGGTGTTTTCTAGCTCTGAGAATGAATTTCTTCTGCTATCAGAAATTTCCATATTTTCAACATCAAATTGCGTGTAACGAAAATAGAAAAATAAATTGAAGATAAATTAATTAAGAAGGCATGAGGAGGATTAAGGAGAATGATTACTAAATGGAATGAAGAGAAAAATAAATAAGAAGAGAATTAGGGTAGAAGACGGAACGAAGTTGGAATAGGGTTACCGTTGAATCTATAATATATATATATATATATATATATATATATATATATATATATATATATATATATATATATATATATATATATATATATATATATATATATATATATATATATATATATATATATATATATATATATATATATATATATATATATATATATATATATATATATATATATATAAAGGCAAAACATGATATTTTGGTGTAGTCTATATTTTTTTTTTTATCAATTTTACCTTTTTAATGTTTAATTCAAAATGACTTCCATTAAAATCACTATTATCTTCTTTCAAATAATTTTTTATTATTAATTTACTATCTAACTTTATACTATTAACTTTTATTTAAAATTAATATTAAATAAAAAAATATTATTTAAATTTTTACGTGTGTTAATTAAAAAAGCGGACAGACGGGCACGCGAGTACCCCTATGAATGAATGACACATAAGATTAGGGTACTAAATTTTATTTCATCTAATTTTTATTATAAAGAAAATTAATTTTTTAAGAATGATTGAATTATTCAACCTATATATATATATATATATATATATATATATATATATATATATATATATATATATATATATATATAGAATATCAAATGAGAGGAATTTTAAATGAGAGGTGAGAGGAACAAACAACAACCATTAGATCAAATTAATAAGAGAGATGAAATGTAAATTAATAAGAGAGAAATTAATAGTCACATTAATGAATAAGTTTACTCATGATCTAATGATTGTTGTTTGTTCCTCTCACCTCTCATTTAAAATCCCTCTCACTTGATATGCCATATATATATATATATATATATATATATATATATATATATATATATATATATATATATATATATATATATATATATATATATATATATATATATATATATATATATATAGTTCTAGACTGGGTCAGAGGCTGACCCATTGTCGGGCACGACCCAACTCAGCTCTTCGTCGGGAGGGGCCCAATGAAGGCCCAATCCATCCACGCGTACGGGGAGCTCTCATACGCCTCCCCCACGATCTCCACGTGTTCCCTACGCGGGGACACGTCATCAGGCAACTACCCGCGTCCGAAAAAACAGGTCACCCACCTTCTGGAGATCACAGGGCAGTTGACGCAGGGTGAAAACCACGTGCTGATCTTTCCTGTGCCACGTAAGCCCTGACAGTTACTCGTATTAGGCCTTGCAATCCAACCCAATGCAAAGTAACCATTGGCCCAACGTTGGGGGCACATTATAAATACCCTCTTTCACTAAAGGGTCAGATATTCTTTTCTTTATACGCCTTTTCTGTACTTGTTTTTTCTACTCTGTCTCTTACTTTGGCATAAGAGTACCTTGCAGGTACACCCCTCCTCTTCTCCACCACCGGCGAGTTAAGGAGCTTACGACGTGTTGCTGGTTGTTGATCATTTTTGATCCGGTAAGATCAGTGGCGCCGTATGTGGGAATCTTGCTTCCCCGTTCTTCTTTCCAAAGAAATTCAATAACCAAAGCATACATCAACCTCCGTTGATCATGGTCAGCCAATGTAATGACGACAACGTCCATGAAATCGCCTTCACCCCGTTCACCAACAATGATGATTACCCCCGCCTCACCCTCCCCTGACGATACGGCCTTCAACGCCGCTTGACGCTCCAACCAATCCCTGTGTCGCCCAACACCGACCCGACCATGGTGTCTTTGTTCACGGAAATCAATCAGACAAATCTGATGATCTTCCAACAGAACGAGCGACAACCATGATCTCTCCTGCAGAGACATCGTCGCCCGTTTTCTCGCAACCAGTCCCTGCGACAACGAGAGACTCGTCTTTCCCTTCCCCCGCGGAGGCCCCAATATGACGAGTCTCAGAGTCCCTCTGCACGACAAACTGGGAATCGTCCACAACTAGAAAGGCCTCAGCCCGTGGCCACCCAAAAGTGTGACCGTTCTCCTCCTCGAAAAGAGTGACGCTCCCCGGCTCCCAAGAGAAGCAGAGCCGACGAACATACTGGGAAATAGAAGATTTGTCCGAGGAGCCCTCCATGTCGCGACAGGAGCTCTCAATACAACCCTTCCTCCTCACAATCACCCATCAGAAGTGACGAGGATGACCCCCGCACTCCACTGTCCAGGGCTATCAAGGAAACTCGCCACTCCGTCGGGATGGAGAAACCCCCAGTACTGGCCACCTACGATGGTACGACTGACCCAGACAACCACATTGAAAGCATCAACGTGATGCTCGACTACAGGAACGTCCAGGAGCCATCAAGTGTAGGCTCTTTCCCACGACCTTGGTATAAGAGCCTTGAGTCCGAATCCATCACCTCCTTGAGAGAGCTGAAAAGACAGTTCTCCAGGCACTTCACCGCTTCCCGGTGACACCCAAAGATGGAAGCATCTCTGGAATCCATCATCCAGAGGAAGGAAGAATCTCTTTGGGACTACATAGAGAAATTTAACCTAAAAGTTGTACAAGTATCTACCTCGGACGACATGAAGAGATGTCTGATCGAATGAGGGCTTGGACCTCGAACTGAGTTCGCCAAGGCCGTCAGCATGAAAGGCCTAACACATTAGACGTGCTCCTTCACAAGGCCCAAGCTTACATCTAGTACATGGAGAAGGAATCCGCCAACTACGCCTGTGACTCGTGGAACCAGGAGAGTGCCCGAAATTTCAGGCACAAAGACTCCACCGCTCCCCAACGAGGAGGGGATCGAAGAAAAGAAGATCGACCTTGAGACTCTGTTAGCTCACAAATTTGACGACTCATATATATAGATTAAAATATTTAAATAAAATATTAAATTCTTTTTGAGTGGTAAAGAGGTTTTCGAGGCCTTGAGACCTTCGATTGGGAAGTCAAAAGTTGTGGGACTTAGAGAAAATTATGAACCTTAAAGAAAGTAACCTTCGACCGAGATGTTGGTTGGAGATTAGTGAAGTTTTGAAATTCAAATAATGGAGGGAGTAGTTATGTTTTCCTATGACTAAGAGGGACAAGTGGCTTTCGTTTGGTAAAGGACTTCATGCACTGTGACACTTGTCGGAAGCTGATGGCCTTAGGAGGTTATTGGTAGTTATTTTTTACTATTATAAATAGAAGTCTTTGACATAGAATTCAGTGTGTTATAATTTACTATTTGTACAAGTCACTCCCAAAATTACTCAGAGTATCCGAGTGTAGAGAAAAGAGTTCAAGGAGAATGTACGTTATGTAAATACACAATCTTTACTTTCAATGAAGTTTAATTTACTTGCTTAACTTTACAAAGTTTTCCTTTACTTTTTCTACAATCTACCCCCTTCTATGCACTTTACTTTACCTTCGTCTTAAATTCCTTTCTAAGATCTTTATATCTTTCCTTCTAAATTTCTATCTTCTCTATCGCTTTAGTCGAATAAACACCTTTATGATTAAAGCTTTTTCTCTAAACATTGTCGAAGTGTGCAACTTACATAGATTTCAAAACATAAACCTTTAGCACATGTCCTAGGATCAATCTGATCGATCCTGTGAGTCATCAAATTTAGATTTGGAAGATCAGCGGTTGTTTTCCATTTTTCAAGGGAAATAGACTCCTAGGAGCAAAGGGGGCCAGCAAGCCGATTCACCGAGTATACGCTACTCACAACTCCTCGAGAGCGCATTCTGGACGAGTGCATTAACTGGAATTTCCAAAGAGGTGGCATCTTTTTCCCGAAGCCGACACCCCCTAAGCCCAACGTCGGCAAGTCCAAGTATTGTCAGTTCCACAAGAGTCATTGACACGTCACAGAAGATTGCATCCACCTCAAGATGCCATCGAAATCCTAATCAAGATGGGGCACCTGAAATGATAAGCTCGAAAGAAGGAGGTTCTTTGACAGGAAACTTGCGAGGCGAAGAGGGTCGAGGAGGTGCCACCACCCTCCGATGAGACCAGGTTGCAAGTCGCCTTGTGCATCTCCCGGTCAGAGGACTTCTACCTCCCCTACAAGGTCGACGTAACGTTGTCCGCTCGCAGTACTTGAGAGAAATTCCTATCCATAATAGTCAACTCCGGCGGGGGTCCCAACAAGCTTTTAGTAGGGTCGGTCAAGAGGAAATTTGAGGAGCTGATCGACCAAAGTTCAAAGCAGAGTGCCACCTTCGATAGGTTGAAAGGTAACTCAAACTTGTAGCACCCTAAAATTTGGTCATCTTTGCTCTTAGATCTTAGCTTATTTTTCATTGCATTCTCATATTCATTTTTGCATAGCATTGGACAAGGATCAAGGCATCGTGGCTTCTTTCTCAACATAGGAAGAGCATGTTCCTTCAACCTTAAGCAAAGTTTTCTTCTTGACTTTTATGGTAATTCTCAAGCTCCCAGAGATCCTCATCCTCAAGTGTGATTCAATACAACATCATTTCAAGATCATATGTGGTTCACCATGGCTTATTGTGCAAGTAATCATCAAGAGATTCAAGTTTGGTTCAAGGTGTTTGACCTAATTTAGCAATTTGTGGATGCTATGATCAAATGGGCATAACTCCTTCATTTTTCAACATCTTGAGGTGCTTATTTTTATAATGAACTCTTTTCATCATCCCTAACAAGTTCTCTTTATAAGCAAAGATCAAATTATGCTTGAAGGATCATCAAAAGTTTGAAAACATTATAGGTCATTTTGAGCTTTGGAAGGATTTTCTAGTCAACTTCAAAAGGTCACAACTTGGCCAATTTTTATCATTTGGAGCCCATTATTTTTCTAAAGTGAACTTGAAGATGTCCTCTACATCTTTTATTCAAGGTGGAAGTGCCAAAAACTCATGGAAGGTCTTTGTTTTTGTCAAAA